CTTTTGTTTTACGCTGGAGATATGAGGTTAATATGGATTGTAATAAAAAGTGGAAAAGTGTGTTGCATGAAAACAGTAAGATCAGCGAAGCCTTAGCATTGTTTGTACTTTTATTAATTTTTATAGGTAACAGCATGTCATACAGTGTTAGAAACCACATAAGCAAATCAGTAAGAGATTAAGTAAAGCTGCACTATTTTTGATTTTTTTTTTTGTTAAAATTGAAAGAAGTGGCATTACTTAGTCAGGAGAGAGAGAAAAACATGCTAAATATGTGTGCATGCACAGTTGCGAGTCAACTTGCAAAGCCTAGAATGATAATCTTTGTTTTTGATAGTCTCAAAAAGAAAGTCTCTCTCAATGTTCAGGTCTCAAATGTACAATCAACATTATATCCATGATGATTACAATAGTAGATAATTCACTTACATCCTCAGAAGACATGTCGTTCTCCAAGTGTTGACTTGAGTTCTCTTTGAAAACTCTACCAACATGCTTGCAATCATCAGATTCATCCGCTCGTGAGGGTCTGAAGTACAAACAACGTTCGTTACAAAATGTTCTTTTGCACATTGCATGCAATTACTTATCTCCACCAGAGAGGGCTTCAGATCTCCAATAAGTACATGGTGTAGCTTTAACAACTCGACACGGTTTTAGGCAAGTGTGTGATGATTAGGGGTTCAGCTTGCACCATTCTCATTGGCCGGACGTAGCTCAAGTGCAAACGTGAAATGGCTGGTCAACAAAATTTTGGCCAAGGAGGAAAATGTGTTTTATTTTTCACTGAGCCATTGTTCACAAAGTCTGAAATTGATTTGCCCAATCAGAGCACCACTACTAAAGACTAAGAAAATGTGTTATTTCTTGCTTTCCTCTCTGTGTACATGCACATGAGTGAAAGAAAGCCCTCCACAACCCAAAGACTAGACCCATTCCTGATCTGGCTCAGTACAGGTCTGAGTCCTGATTAATGCCGGCTGGGTAATTAGTGCTGGTCCAGTTTGTTTTGTGGTATAAATGGTGCATGTGTCGAACATTAGCTCTCTCTCTCTTTCTTTCTCTCTCTCACTCTCTCATTCGCATGCATCCCTCGCTCCTGAGCCAGCAGACGGGTCACGAGCCTCAGGGAGCGCAATCACGAGCCTCCTCCATATGTTCCTGCCCCATCTACACTGGGACCTCCCGCACCATTCAGTCCCACAAGAGCCTAATCGTGTTCTGTAATTACAGCACTACTCTCTCTCTTCCTCTTATACTCTCTCTCTCTCTCTCTCTCTTTTTCTCTCCTTTCTCTCTCTCTCTGTTTCCCAATCTCTTCTCTGCTGGCTGGAAATGAGAGAAAATCCTCAAACACTCCCTCATCAGATAATTTGTAAATTGCTTTACGCGGCTGCTGCCGAACGAACTTCATGGTTGTATTTTTTTCTTCTTTTTTTATTTTTTTTTTTTGACTGCTTGAAATTATAAATAATTGTAACAGATGCAGCAATATGGCCGGCCTCCAGCAAACGAGGCCCCAGATAATTTGGCCGACCCCTTTGACAGGCCAATTTAATAAAATGTGAACAAAATCTTCCCCGCTAATAATTTATCATCCTCTCTCCCAATTGGTTAAACTTAATTACCCTGGCAGTTAACAAGGTCACACCCAGATGCCAAGTGCGGCTGTAGTTTTGATAATGCAATCAGGAACCCAAAGGTGATGACAGTGGTGTTGTATTTTTCATTACCTCACTCTCGGTGAGAAAAGTGGGTGCCAAGGCCCTGCTTGTCAGTCGACGCTAATTATCCCTCATCATACTGCTTAGACTGAGTGCTGATATTGTGGCAGAGACGTGGCGGAAGCTTTACATTCTGCTGCAAGATGGCTGTTTGTGAAGAAAGAAAGTTTGCTTCTGTTAGTTTACATTTGTTTGAGCCTGTGAAACTGACTCCGCGTTCTGCTATATTTAACACAGACAACATAAAGGTAGCCAGTGGTTAATGTTAGTGGTTAATCATTTTAGCTCTTGTCTTTTCTTCTGGCTGGGATTTTCTCTTTCTTACTGAATTCAATTCAGTTCAGTTCAATTTGTATACAATATGTGTACTTTCTGTAACAGTCATTGTTCTGAAGCAGTTGGAAACCAGAAATGTGGGTGAAGCACCGTAATGAGTGTCACCAAGAGAGGCAGTGTCAGCAAAAACTCCCTGGTGATATAAGCATAACATACAACTCCCTCAGAACCTGAGGAAGAAACACCGATAAGAACCAAGGCTCAAAAGGAAAGCTCCCTAAAAGTATTAAGAAGAAGCTACTGGGAGGAACCAAGCCTCAAAAGGGAAAACTCCCTAAGAGCATGAAGAAGAACCTCTATGAGGAATCACAACACTAAAGAAAAACTCCTGAAGATCTTGATGAAGAACCACTGTAAAGATCTGGAGAAAAAACTGACTGGGTGGGAAAAAGAATGGGTGGTAGATATAAGAACAAGATGGGGAAGTTCCGTATGAACAGTATTGACAATGTGGTAGTTAAGCAGATTTTAAACGAAAGTTGATGTTCCAGTTTATCCCAAAGCTACTGGATGAGGTTGCGGGCGGGGCTCTTTGGAGGCTGGACAAGTTCTTTCACAGCAAACTTAACAAACAATTTCTTTATGAAGCTCTCTTTCTGCATGGGGCCATTTTGAGTGGATCTTTATGGGTGGGAAGTTTGACACCACATCACACTATATGGATAGACTAAAGAAAGTAGCACTTATTGCACTTCTTAGTGCAGATTTCAGGTTTTGTTCTTTATACTCAGCCCATGTGAACATTAGCAATGTGCCTTGAACATCAAATATCTACATTAAACAACTCACCAAGCTACGCTGGTGGGGGTTACTCATCGTCTTTTCTCAAAATCTTTTAGCAACCTCAATGATAGCAATGTAGAGGATGCTGCAAATGCCATATACATAAACTGGCCACTTTATTAAGTACACCTACCTTGTCTCTACACTTTTGTCCATTTTTTCAGATTCATTTACCATATAGGTACGCTTTGTAGTTCTCCAGTGAGAGGCTGTAGTCCATCTGTTTTTCTGCATAATTTGTCAGCCCCCTTTTACACTGTTCTTCAGGGATCAGGACCACCACAGAGCAGGAATTATTTGGGTGGTGGATCATTCTTAGCACTGCAGTGCCTCTGACGAGGTAGTGGTGTGTTAGTATGTGTTGCGCTGTTCATTGTTCATAGTGGTGGTGACAGAAACCAGATGTGTGAAGAGTTTAGTGCCTCTTAAAGCTCCCTCCTCATTACATGAAATGGTTATGAATATGCTGCCTGATGCCAGTAACATTTTAACGTTTTATGATAGGTTTGAGAAGGCTTTGCTCCAAAATGTATTTTCTGATATCTGTTAATGGCAGAGAGGTACATGCAGGGTGTCGTAAGGCAAAATAGTCCATAAAGAAAACATATTTTTCAGATTTCATCATTACATACACTGTAAAATTCAGAAGACACATGTGGTTTCACTGGTTGTTTTGGATATTTGTGCTATAGACATGAAGACTGCTTATTCCTGTCACCACCACTGTAAATAAGTTCCTCTGAAGTTATACAGAAAATCAGTGGAACTCCCCTTTTAGCAAATCTGAGATGGCTCACTCGTGTGAAGCAGGTTTACAGCTTTAGCTCATATAAGCAGGTGTTACAGAAGTATCCTGCAGTGCCAGTCTATTTAGGTACAGTGATGTCCATATATCAAATTCTTCTTTTTCTCAGTCGCTGTGTCTTTCTCTGTCGTGCGCACACACACACTCTCTCAGTGAGGTGAGGCCATTTGCCCTTGTCTCTGTGGTGTGTGTGTGTCCCTGTGAAGCTTACAGTCTTAATTGACGGGCTGCTACGTGGTGATGAATAGCAGTCACACCACGCTCCTCACACACAGCTGTCCCCTGTCCTCAGGGTAAAGTGTGTGTGTTTGTGTGTGCGATTGTATTTGATTAAGCCGTTAAACTTTTGTGGGTATGTTTTTTATGAATGCTTTGTTAGTAATTTAAGGAGCCCATATTGTACATTTTTCTTTATCCATCTATATTTAGTTTCATGTATGAATTTTTAATGGTTTTATATACCATAAACAGTCACAGTTGATTTTTACATGGCCACTTTTCAACCTTTTTTCACTTTTCGTTATCCCTTAGAATTTCACAGGCTTTTTTAGTTACTGTGCCACTAAGACTGATATATGCAAATGACCTCTGTTCTGATTGGCTGCTGTGTATTGTGCTTCAATCAAAAAGCAGTCCTGCTGTAGGTTGAATCAGTGGATCTGTGTAAATGTGTTGGTTTTTGTAACATCGCAGAAATAATGAATCTATTTTTGTAACTTAGTTTTCTTATATGGACTGTATGGACTGGGAAGTGAACGGTATGTTCTGAAACTTTGTTTACAGAGTGTTTACATACTATGCCAAACTTTTTTATTTTAGAAAGAGAGAGGGAGATTTAGTTTTTTTCTAATTTGGGCCCTTTAAGTTGTTTTAAATGCAATTATATAGTGAATTTGTGGTAATGTGCTTCTTAAGGGTGTAAAAAAGAATCTGTGCATCAGTCTGAAGGTGATGATTCAAGTCCATCCTTTTTGAAATATTAGAATTGATTATAATCAGTCGTAATAATATTCAGTAATATTCAGTATTGGCCTAAAAACTAAAGTAAAAGTAAAAATAACTACATATATTGTTTTATTGTCTATATTCAGTTTGTGTAGTATTGAACATTGTGTAGTATTCGTATCTTATTCCCATATAAAAATCCCTTTGTCCACTTATAAATATAACAACATGAAAAAAGTCCGTTGTTGATTTCACAGATTTGCATTAATTTGAAAGATTTTTGTTTTTTTTTCCTGTTAGTAGGCAAGAGCAGGAGTCTAATAAAGTTTTTAACAGAATGGTGCTGTTAATATAATTTCAATCAGGTATAATGATAAGGATTTTGTTTATATTTGTGTGTGAGACAGGCTGTAGAGCAGCAGTGTGGTGTGTGTCAGGAACCACAGGCCTCTACTCCGGTTCCTCCCCCGCAGCATGAGGAGGCTACAAGGGGAAATGAACTTCAAGTACAGTCTATAACTTCAGGGACACAGAGCTCTGGAGCTGAGCAACAGGCGCAGCAGGTATGTCAACACACTCTGAAGATACACCAACACACACTGCAGGAGAACGCGCACTGCAGATGCACCTACACCCAGAGTGGGTCTGAGTAAAACTGTACCCCCTTAACTAATCAGTCATTGTGTTCTTGGTCGGCTTAAATTCTGTCAGTTGACAATTTTTAGGACTAGATCCCGGATTAGCATTATGGATGAATTCTCTATAAGTATTTATTTACTAATGTATTTACTGGATAAAAACGTCTTGTCAACTTAAATAGGCCCTTTTCACATTTGCTTGTTTTTTTCTGCTGGAAGTACTTGCAGGTAGAGCTGGGCGATATGGCCAAAAATCTTATCACAATAAAAAATCAGTCGATATTGATACATATCGCGATAAATGTCACATCATTATTTCTAAGTTTGAAGGCTGATTTTTGAGTAGTCAGTTGCTGTTTTAAACTATCCTTTATGGTCGGAACATGACTAACACTTGCCAAACGGTCGAACAAACCAAAAAATGTGTCCTAAATTGTCTATTTCCTGCACATTCTGACATTGAAATATGCCTTAAAAATATAAAAAAAAAAACTTTCGTAGATATTTATAATCAACCAATAAACACTTTGATCTAGTGCAACTCCTGAGTTAAAAATCCCAAGTTATTTCAAGAGCTTAAAGCTTGAGTGTTTTTAGAAGCTTAACATTGCTTCCTTCAGGGGTCTCTGACCTTATTTGTTAAAGCTGAAAGAACAAAAAAACCTAAATTCCGCGTGTGAATCTAGGTCTCTGTCCAGACAAGATAGATCTTATCATTAATGCTTTGTTTAAACATGAAGAATTCACCCGCACAACAGTGTAATTGCAACTTAAACCTCAGTTCTTAAATGTTTTTTTTTTTTTAATACAGTCGTTAGAATTTCTATGGAGAGCAAGAAAAGGGAAAATGAATGTTTAAAAAACATAAATGTTTAAAAACATCAACTGGTTAATAAATTAAGAGATGTGGACATTTTCTAAAAATTAAACTGGTAGTACCATGTCTCTTAAATATTATGCCACAAAGTGTCTGTCATGCAGAAATCCAAGCAAGCTTTTCAACAAGGTAGAAACTACATGAAACAACCACTATCGCAACCAAAATGCTAAACTACGTCTTTCATGTTGTGATCTAGACTGACTAAAATGTCCAATGTCCAGTTACTTTTACCCCAGATGAATTGTTATTATAGATTGTTTGTATTTAGATACTTAACAAGCTTGTAATGAATTACCTTCTACTCCAGTCACACTGGCTATCATGCTAATTTATCATGGACATTTTAAACTAAACTTACTGATGAAAAAAACACACAAATTACCAAAAATAGCAATTGCATTGAGTAGAATAGATATCTAAACGAATGCGGCCAGTGTTTTAGGAAACCTTTACTCCCGGAATGGGTCCCATTTCCACCTCTGGTCATGATAATGTTAATGCTACAGCATACAAAGACATTTTAGACAATTAAATCCTTCCAACCTTGTGGCAGCAGTTTGGTGAAGGCCCCTTCCTGTTCCTGCATGACTATGCTCCTGTGCACAAAGCAAAGTCCAAAAATGCCCATGGTTTATTAGGTCCATATTAATGCCCATGGTTTTGCAAAGGAATGTCCAACAAGCTTATATAAGTAGTCAGGTGTCCACATACATACATAAGCCAGCCATGCTTAGTTGCCCTCTTAATTAACCTGAACGCAACAGTATATGTAATATATTGTTTATTTTGTTTTTTTTTTTAATTCTAACGCACTGTATTGCATACTGTTATCCCTAAAAATGAAGAAAATCCAAGATAATACTGTTGTTTTTTTTTTTACTATGTGGTGTGCTTTTGCACATTTTTATAGATACAGCATGTCATACAGTGTGAGAAAGAACACACACAATATGCTAATTAGTGGGTTATGAGCTTCCATCACTTGTTAGCGACATTAGCTTCGTAGCTCCAGTGGAAAACTGAAGAATCAAACTTCAGATGCCAAACGTCTCTTGGCTGATCAAGTACATTTGGAGTAAAGCTGTGTAAATTAGGAAAAGGAGTCTGTATAAATTGGGCTTTTTGTCAAACTATCGCTTTAAACTTCAGTCAGGCCTCCTGCTGCTGCAGACCCAAATGAACACACCTGACTCTGCTTAGCACATGCTTCTATGAGCCCGAGTCTGTGTGTGTGAGTGGAAGTGTCTGTTTCACTGAGTGTGACTGTGTGTATGTGTGTGTGGCTCCTCAGGACACCTCAGATCAGATTTTTTCCTCTCTTCAGAGAAGACTTATCATGTGATGGCGTTTGGTGTGTCTCGTCCCCCTGCTGTGGTCAGGTGACCCTGCCCTGTGTCTCATGCATGCCTCAGGGCCCAGACGCTTGGAAATTTCTGTGGTCAAAACAAAGCACTTTTTTTTAAAGACATATCACCTTTGACCAAAACACTGGAATATGACACACTTTTCCACATGATTGTGGACTTGGCCAAAACAAACAAGTGCAATTAGTATGGCTGACCTCAGAGCTACAGTCTGTCTGTAGCTGCCAGACATTCTGCATTGATAGCTCTGCATTCATTAATGACTATTTTTAGGAAAGGACAAAAAGACATCAGTCATATAGTTGTGAATCTCTGTGATAGTCATTCATTAAAATACAATAAAAGTGGAAACTGTCTGTGGGCACATTTTAAAATGTGTAAAGAATGATGCTAGGCCTGTACATGGCGACAATTAATTATTACGGTAACTATGGTAACAGCCCCAAGGCATGGTAAAAACTCATTTACTGACAGTTTTTAAAAATTCGTTTTTTTTATTTTATGCAAGCCAGATCAAGACCAGAGTATTCGCACACATAAACATTCCTTTTAAACGTTTAGGGATGTGATGTTACTTTACCAAGACCAAGTTTATTCTGCAAATGCAGCTGCTGATTAAACATGCTCTGTGCTGCATTTAGATATCTTCCCTTTCAAAAAGCCTCTATGGTATGATTTACATTTTAGGACATCCTCACACCAAAGTGTTAGGTTTCAGTCTGAAAAACGAATTTGGTCTCGGGGGAAAAACACATTAGCAAAAACATGTCTCAGCTCTCGTTCATCAGGCAAAATGGCTTCAGAGAAAAAGGCAGAGGGCTAAGCTAAGTAGCCCAAACTCTCAGACAGTTTGTGACATTTGCAATTCTGTTCTTTATTACTAGATTCATTTACAGTGTAATTGTAATTCAATTCAGCGTCAAAGTACTTCTTACTCAAAGTACTGTTAAGTCAGTGTCGGCTACAGCAAAAGCACAACTTTAAGATATGCATGCAGAGGTTTTTGGTTAGTTTATTTTTAAGTCAATCAAGTGCTTACTAACAAAAAAAAGCCCTTTATGTCTGGATAATCCATCTCTGTTAGTGTGTGCGAGTGAGTTTGGGTTGGCTTCAGGTTTCAGTTTTAGCAGTACTTGTCGGACCTGTTCAGGTCAGGTCTAAAAATTACAGGTTGGGTTCAGACTTCAATTTCATGCCTATGCAGACCTATAATGTGAGTACCTTTGACCAGTGATTAGGCACTGTTTATTTTTTTATTCTTGATTCAGTGTTGTATGTTCATCAGTCATTTCTTCATTCATTGTTCTCATCTTGGTTCGTTTTATTGTTTCTTTCTCAAACTCCTTGGTAGTTTTTCCTTTTGAGTCTTGATTCCTCTCAGTGGTTCTTCCTCACACTTTTAAGGAGTATTTCCTTTTGAATCTTGGTTCCTCTCAGTGGTTCAGTGTTCTTCGCCATTGTTGACCTTGGCTTGCTCATTAGGGGCTTGGATTTCTGTAAAGCTGCTTCATGAGAACGCCAGTTGTAAAAGGTGTTGTGAAAGTAAATTTTTGATTAAGTTGAATTTAATTAATCAGTAGGTAACATATACCCTAGGATGCTATATGTGTGCTATGCTAGGCTATAGCTTATCTAAATGTCACATATTTTATTTACAATTCTTTTTCCAAAAAAGTTGGGATGCTATGCAAAAATGTAAATAAAAACAGAATGCATTGTTGGGCAAATCATTTAAACCCTCTGTTTAATTCATCGTAGTACAAAGTCAACATAACAAATGCTGAAACTGCTAAATTTTATTGTTTTTTGAAAAGTATATGCCTATTTTGAATTTGATAACAGCAACACATTTCAAAAAAGTTGGGACAGGGGCAACAAAAGACTAGTAAAGTTGTGTAATGCTAAAAAAGCAACACATTTTCTGGGCCTGAGCTCATTTAAGATGGACAGAAGCAAAATGCTAAGTGTTTTGTGGTCAGATGCATCAAAATTTCAAATGCTTTTTGGAAATCTGGCTCTGGGACTGTCTGGCTCTTGGAAAGCTGGACAATACACTATGTGATTGTAGAAATCTCATTCCTTGGTGAGTCTGTACATTTGAACAGACAATCATATACTTGAAACACAGCCTCTATAGACAGCTCTGTCTGTGAACAATTTCAAATAAAGCTGTTTTATTCAAAATAACACACTGAGTATAGAGAGAGAGAAACTGAGCAGCGCTGCTAACACTATTCACTGAAGCTAAAGCCAAGTGGTAACTTATGCAGTAGGACAGTCGCTCTTCAGCCTGATTTACACGTATCAGCATTTAGACCTTTTAATTCCATTCAGCCGAACAGAGTAAAGTCAGTACAGACGGACTTTGGTAGTAAATGGCGACTTTCTTTCTGTCTGTCTCTCGCTAGCCTTTGATAGATACTTTTACATTTATGCATTTAGAAGACACTTTTACCCAGAGCAACTTAGTTTAATCATGTTACAGAGGCAGGTCAGCATGGCATTAGGAGTCTTATTGTTGTATTTAAAACGGGCTAAAATCACACAGTGTGGGGTATATGCGAGATACCACCAGACCTACGCTGTGTGTATATACCAAGGCAGAATGTTGTCTGACTGTCACAGAGTCAATAACTGTTCTTTTTGTGAGCAGAGCCTCCTTCACTGTGTTTGTTCAACAGCACGTTAGTGTACACTTGGCTTACGTCACAGCTGGTATCGGAATGTTGGTATCGGTGAACTTCTATGAGTCAGACTACGTGAGCGCGGTATCGGCCCGCTACCCGCTACCAGTATCTGTATCAATGCAACCTTAGAAACATCTATGGGTTTTTTCATATCTGAAGCAGGAGTGGAGCAAACAAGACAATTTTCCTGTTTCTCAAAGGTAAAACCAAGTGCTTTTATGTGTTGGGAACAGGTTTGGTTGTCTACTAGGTCCTGCAAGGTTATTAGGAGTCCCAGTTTTTCTTTATCTTGTAATAATTAGTTTTGGGACACTTTTTTTTTGGGTCTACCTCGATTGCACTGTATAACAATAATACTTAAAGTTGTGCTGTTTCTATCTAGAAGGCCAAAGCTTTCCATGTACAGCAAGCAGAAAAAATACTTTTACATTTGCAATTAGCAGACGCTTTTACCCAGACCAACGTACAGTTTAATCATGTTACAGAGGCAGGTCAATGTAGCATTAGCAGTCTTATTGGTGTAGTGCGGTAGGCTTACCCAGGCAGGCAATCAAGCCCCAGTCTGCTGTGTGGAGGGAAGCATTATTACCCTCTATACCACTCCACATGCTAGTGATTCCCCTTCCAAGGGAATCGAAGATTGTTAAAGAATCGAACTTCAGCATTTTAGGTGGAGGGCAGCTTTATCACCCGCTACACTATGCTAACACCACTACATGAACCTATAGACACAAAGATGGGCACACAGCCAGTAATATGTATAAAATAGACTTATTACTTTAATATCTAGATCTTTGCTTTTCACAATAATGTGCATATGTCTGACAGACTATAGCAAACTTACTGATGAGTTTTTGCTAAGCCAAAGCTTTAATCAGGCCTTACTGGTCCACAGTTTTGATAAAATTAGTCTTCTTTACCAATATAATCACACAATTAAATTGAAAGTTTGCCATAGCTCAACAATCTACCCAACACACTACACACCCTCACCTGTCTCTGTCAATCTCTCTCTCTCTCTCTCTCTGTTCTCTCTCTCTCTATGTCTCCTTCTCTTTCTATCTTCACCTTTCTCTTCCTTTTTTATTTTTCACTTGCCCTGTAGTTTTCTGTCTTTCCTCTCACACCCTTTCCTATTTCTCTTTCTTCTTCTCTCTTTCCTCTCTCTCTTTCTCTCTTTTACTCTCTCTCCCATTGTCCTATGGAGTGTAACACTAGGCCCTGATAGAGCAATTAAAAGCTTCTTCCTCCCCACCTTTTGGTAATGAGGCCTGGCGCGTTTCTCCCTCTCTAACCCTTTCCTCTCCCCTAATGGGACATCATTATTGTCAAAGAAACAATGCAGATGGAAATGAACGCGCTCATTAGGCCTCGCGCACGGCACCCTTCAGAGAGATGTGCTCGCGCTCTGGCCCGCACGTGCCCCTGTTTGTTTAGTGTGTGTGTGTCTGTGTGTGTGTCTGTGTAGTGGTTGGGGTGGTGTAATGTAGCTCACTCATTTGGAGCGTGTGTAATTGTTGCATTGATGTCGAGTGTTGGTCGAGTGCACCCTCTGTGTTCAGGGTGTATCACTATACAGTATAATAACAAAGCAGCTGGCCTATGGTCCCCCCTTCCCACCGCACACACTCTGCTCTCTCTATGTCTTTCTCTCTCTCTGTCTCTCTCTTACTTTATCTCTTTCTTTCTCTTTCTTTCTCTCTTTCTGTCTCTCTCTCCCTCTAATCACTGTTTCCTACATTGAAACACTATATAGAACACTATTATAAGGAAAAGAAATGTCCCTCTTATCACTGTTTCTTGTATTTGAGCACTATATGGAACACTACACTACTGCATCATCCTCATAGAAGTAAGTTCTTTGCTGTTGCTGCTGACATGGATTTGCTCATCACATTAGTCCTATTCTCTAACGTGTGCATTATTGGTATTCCACATCTGATATGTTACATTGTTTGTCCACAAGCTGTTGGTGTGGAATATAAGGGATTCTGAGAGTACTACAGATTATAAAACAAATCTCTCTCTCTCTCTCTCTCTCTCTCTCTCTCTCTCTCTCTCTCTCTCTCTCTTTCTCTCTCTCTCTCTCTGTCTCTCTTTCTTTCTTTCTTTCTTTCTTTCTCTATTAGCGCTCCAGATCACTCTCTCCAGGTAGCAGGAGCAGCAGTATTGCAACTGAGAGGAGGATCCAGCAGCTGGAGGAGTTACTCTCGCTCAAGGTGAACACACACACTCCTCTCACTTTTTTATCTGTTCTCTCTCTCTCTCTTTCTCTTCTTTCTTTGTGTGGACAAAACAAATAGATCATCAAGTGTAAATTTTACAACTTCCAGATCTGTCTGCTCGCCACTGGTGGGTGTTTTTACGTCGTTTCTGTATGTAAATGAAAAGAAAGGAAACAAGAGTCATACCCAGCATATCAGTGCATGTGATACATTGATTGTTTTTTCATCATTTTACATAATGTTACAATAAAGCATAAAATTAGAGGTGGAGACAAGTTATCTGTTCTTAGGTGCTCTTGATAGACTTTAAGAAGTGGGATGCCTGGCATAGCCAAGCTTGGAGGTGGAAAGAAACTGCAGGATCTCACTGATGCATCATTTTAGGAGATTGCTAATCAGCTAATCCAGTAATATTCATGGTTAAGTTTAAATATTTACTGGAGGCTTCACTATAAAGCAGCATACAAATAAAAAAAATGGAAAAGGTACATGTTTGTACCTTTTCATACCTTAATCATTTAGAACAGAACAACATAATGAAAAGCCTGGAAGACAGGGTGTACGAAGTCAATGCAACTTACAAAATACAAATGCAATGGAATATGGTACAGTTATGTTCCCTTACTAAAGGTACTGAAGTCGTAGCCTTGAGGGTACCAACCCAGTAACAAAATAGGGGTTAGAAATCCGCCCCTACTCACAATGAGAATAAGCTGTAGAATTAAGATCATTCCACACTGAACGTGTTGAAAATAAATGACACAAATGCTAAATATTTGGATACTATTTTTTCGCATCAACTCATGCACACTATACGCGATTTTTTCCGTCTTATTCAAAAACAAACAAACAATCACAATGTCTTCAAGAGACAAAGATATCCTTTGCTCCTCACAAAAAGGACAAACGATGACATTGGGTGAGTTACTTTGTATTTTGGAAAAGTGAAAGGAGCACTCAACAGCTTGAACTTTTAGAGCCTTCACATATACACTATATTGCCAAAAGTATTCACTCACCCATCCAAATCATTGAATTCAGGTGTTCCAATCACTTCCATGGCCACAGGTGTATAAAATAAAACCAAGCACCTAGGAATGCAGACTGCTTCTACAAACATTTGTGAAAGAATGGGTCGCTCTCAGGAGCTCAGTGAATTCCAGCGTGGTACCGTGATAGGATGCCACCTATGCAACAAGTCCAGTTGTGAAATTTCCTCGCTACTAAATATTCCACAGTCAACTGTCAGTGGAATTATAACAAAGTGGAAGCGATTGGGAACGACAGCAACTCAGCCACGAAGTGGTAGGCCATGTAAAATGACAGAGCGGGGTCAGTGGATGCTGAGGCGCATAGTGTGCAGAGGTCGCCAACTTTCTGCAGAGTCAATCATTACAGACCTCCAAACTTCATGTGGCCTTCAGATTAGTTCAAGAACAGTGTGTAGAGAGCTTCATGGAATGGGTTTCCAATGGGTTTGGTGTGGAAGAACTTGCCTGGCCTGCACAGAGTCCTGACTTCAACCCAATAGAACACCTTTTGGATGAATTAGATTGGAGACTGCGAGCCAGGCCTTCTCGTCCAACATCAGTGTCTGACCTCACAAATGCGCTTCTGGAAGAATGGTCAAAAATTCCCATAAACACACTCCTAAACCTTGTGGAAAGCTTTCCAAGAAGAGTTGAAGCTGTTATAGCTGCAAAGGGTGGGCCAACATATTAAACCCTATGGATTAAGAATGGGATGTCACTCAAATTCATATGCGTGTGAAGGCAGACGAGCGAATACTTTTGGCAATGTAGTGTAGCTTGGATGTCTGTAGCTTGGTTTGTGCCCTGTTTGTGCTGCTTTTGGAGAGGGTAACTGCATCCATGATGAAACAGGGCACAAGTGAATCTTCTGATGTTTATCAAGAGGTTCTGGTTGCTGGAAGATGGTTGTTGCTATGCTGCCATGCCAGTGCCAGAGACCGTGATTGCCAACTTGCAAGTGGACACGTGAGAGAGATTGAGCTGCTTTATTCTAAGGGTCTATTATAACACTTTGACTCTACTACTGTAACTAAAAATTTTATCGGCTGACGTTATCGGTAATCTGAATTTTTAGCCCCTTAAAATCAGTATTAGGCAAAAAATTTTCAAATTGGTCAGGCCCTACAGGCCACGTGTTGTACATCCCAAACTCCCCCAAATGTGGGGTCATAACACGAGGAATATGAGCTTATTACACCAGCAGAGTGCTTTTGTATGTGTATGCGTGAGATTAGAGTTCAGTGCTGCTGAGATGATGTCTTAATGAAGAGTTATCCACAGCACTTACAGAAGAGTCAGTGACACACCAGAGATTCATTCAACACATACTCACACCGCTGTTACCCTCCTCTGACCATTGTCTTCCAACTGACCTTCTACTCCTCCTCTAAACACACACGCTCGTGCACGTACACACACTAGTTCGCCGTCTGTGAAGGTAATGAAACAGCAGGAGAGAAGCTACTCTGGCGCAAGACTGCTGCAGGACCTATGATATAAACGCTAAACGAATCATCTCCATCACTCTGCTGACCTTCAAGCACACACACACAAGCTCACTCTGTCTCGCTAACTCATGCTCTCTTGCTCTTTGACCTTGCCTACACTTCACATTGATCTCTTTCATATAGTGGTTGATATAGTAGTTTCTTTTAAGAATAGTTGTACATGATGTGATTTCATATTAGAGGTCTGTTCTGGCCTAAAACTAGAGGTTATTGTTATTTACTGTATTATTCAGTATTCTGTTGCTCAGCTTTATGTACTTCAGCCTCATTGGTTCGACAGAATTCATGATTTAATATCGTTTTCACGTTTTCATCATTAGAATTCTCTCACTGCAATACTCAGCATGCGTTACTCAAAGACATGCTACAGCCATTAAGAATCCCTGTGTCATCAACCAGTCCTGACTGCTAGACTATATCCTAATAAATACAACCAAGCTAGCATTAGTGTTGTAATCGTGAACAGTGGTTATATCTTTATTCAGTGCAAAAAAGTGACAGACAAAATTTTTTACCTTATACCTTTTCAGTCAGAGAAGAGGAGCCAAACTGAGGTAAGGTTTGTAGCTAGGTAGCCTTGCTAACTTTAGCTTTTAGGTTATCCTTCTTACCTGATGAGTCAGTTCTAATAGTTTAATAGCTTTTTGTCTGTACTTTCACAAACTTTTAATGTTTGTGCAAGTTAACTTTAAGATTAAGTGAGCATGTTTTTCTATGGATATGAAGCAAATCTATACTGTTTAGACCCTGTGTCCCAGTTTATCTCTTAGGCCATCCAAGAAAATAGGCAAAGCTACTTGCCTGGGCAGTAAGCATTTATTTGTTAAAAAAATGCACACTAACATTGGAGTATATGAAAATCAACAATATGTTGGTCCTTATTATCATAGTAGCATAAAAAAGAGCAAATATTTAAATATTTATTATGAAACTTTTGTATGATGTGGAAGTAAGCAGAGAATTGAGTGCAAATGATAAATCAGCTTTCAGTGCAGGACATCAAGTGTCAGCCTACCAGCACATTTACATGAATCACACCCTCTTGCAGATGTTTTAGTAGGGAGCCTAGGGCTGGGCGATAAAACGATAATGATAATTATCGCGATATAACTTTTCCTCGATAGAGCGATACGACATGTTCGATAAATGTTTGATATGTTACAAGTAAGATGAGTCTTTAGCAACGGCTGAAACGCGGAGTTATACATTCCCTGTTTGAGTGGAGCGACCGGCGATCTGTTCTCCTGTGACTGAGTGTGAGTGACGAGGTCAGTGGTGTAACTATACTGTCCTACAGCGAACTCACCTCTTTCCTAACATCCTAACCAGCTATAGCAGCGTGAAATCACAATCACAAACCTCACAACTACAGCACTGTTACAGCGCTCAGTCATATTTAAGTATTAGTGCATTCCCAAGCAACGAAAGTGAAAGAAAGAAGTGAGTTCATGTGAGTTACAGCCCTGATTTAAACGAAAGGAAACTGAGGACGCTGTGAGGCATTGGAGAGCGGGAGAACGCTAGCTTTCCAGGCTAGCTGTTTTTAGCAGCTGGTTAACTTGAAGCAGCGGTCCGTCACTCCACAACACGGAGAATTGATGATACTGTAGATCAAACAAGACACAAAAGCACTGCTTTCAGTTTAAACGTACCTAAAAAGAGGACACTGTTTGTCTGGTGTTAGATATACTGCGGTTTACCACTTAAACTACTACAATTGAATATCCAGTCGTCGCTAGCTGGTGTCTGAATACTGTGATGTCATTTGTAACGGGGTAGCCGAGCGCTCTTCACCAGCTAAAAATAATCTGTTTTCTTTCTTAAATTATGACTACTACAAAAATAGCCGTGCTTTTCCAGCTGGTAAAAACAGCTGACCACACACTTTCTCCCACTCTCCCATGACAGATTTGTGAAATGTTCCACTGTTTGGCGAGTGTTTGTCATGTTCCGACCATAAAGGATAGTTTAAAACAGCAACTAACTGCCCAGGAGCAAAAATCAGCCTTCAAACTTGAAAGAAATAATGATTTGACATTTATCGCGATACATATCGATATCGAATGATATAAATTTTGTTTATCGTGATAACATTTTTGGCCATATCGCCTAGCTCTAAGGGAGCCATAAAACGACAGCAAGAGCCAATGGCAGTGCTCATAATTTGAGGTTATGCACTGATTCCCCTACTGACCAGACTTCATAGAAATAAAATCATGAGGACTAGAAAGAATAAAAGATTTTTTTTGAAGATGGTAGAATTATGTGATTGTGTGATTATTTTCCTAAAATAACATATTTAAATGCTGTAAATATTGTTGCAGTGTTTGAGGTGGCTTCTGCACTAGCTGCGTTTTATATTTTATATTTTTTGGTGGTGTCAGTAGTACAAAACAAAAGCACAGTGTATTGTTATCAGATTGAATGTGGAATAGTTGCCACATTTATTTATACCAGTGTGCATGTAAAATAAGTACAAATAATTAGTATTATTGTTATTTTCTATTTTTCTTCTTATTGGTATTACAGATGAAGTTGCTAATTGTTTTGATTAGTTAGTGAACACTTGAACAAACATTCATAACATTTTTACTGAACACTTAAGGGTGCTTTACACTCTGACCCTATCTCTGAGAATGCTGCGTGTATTTTGTAGTTTGCGTGTACATATATTCAGTCTGTGCACAAGTACACTCATTTATTGTCTAGTTATTGTTTTTTTGTGTAGACATATTGTCTGTTATCCCAATAGTACATGTGCACTTATGTCCTTCTCTTAATGTTTTTGCACCAGAGAGGTAGCCTGAATGTGTTTTGTTATACTGTGCCACTGTACATGTATAATGACACAGTTTGATTGAATTGAATTGAATTAACCACAAATACAGAATTTTTTCAGGTTGTTAAATTATTATACTCTATTTTACACACACTCCTACCAGACATGAGTTTGATCGTATGCCAAATATGAAACTGATGAAGAACAAAACTGTTGGTGAATTTTGCGTGTGCTCTTTTTATGATCAGATTTAAGCAAACACATCTTTGATGAATATTGGCCAGTGTGATTTGGGGTGTGTGTGTGTGTGTGTGTGTGTGTGTGTGTGTGTGTGTGTGTGTGTGTGTGTGTGTGTGTTAACTGAACTGTTTCCAAAGCTCTCGTCGAAGACCGGTATTTACAGTTGCCATGCAAAACCTAGTTTATCTAATCAATCCTTCATTAAATTAGATCAGTTGCTGCTGATAGTATTTAATAAATCCATACAATAGCCAAGTAAGTTTTCTTCTAACAGCATTCTTCAAACTAAAAACGACACCTTCATATTACATGTTACTGTGCTTATGATTATTTGTATGTATTTTATCATTGTATTGTGTTTCTACTTACTGCTGAGATAAATAGGTTTAAACAGTTGTCATGGCAGCTTTCAACTTTTGCTGAGTACTGTATGTGTCTGCAGCGGGTTCAGAGTCCCTGCTCTGCTCAGGAGTGTGTGGTGTTGGCAGTCAGGTGGATCAGAGCCGGGCTGTGGACGAGCTGCCTCCTGTCAGCCTGCGCATTTCTGTGTGCATGTGTGCTTTGGTGTGTGTATTGATCGCAGTACCCAGCCTGCACCGTGCCGTCCACTCTGAGGCCTCTGTGTACGCCATGATGTGGCTAACGCCCTGTCACTGGAAACAGGAAACACACGCCCGTCAATCGGAGCCGAGCCACGCTGCTGTTCATTAGAGCTCCACACTGCTGCTCACGCTTTCAGCCCCCTTTTCCCTTCCCTCTCTTCTCTCTCTTTTTTTTTCTTTCCCTTTCTTTTTTCTGAAGGGTCTGCCTGGGTGTCCTCTGGTGAATATGTGAGCAGTAAATCCATACTTGTCACACAGGCGGAGGGGCCGAGGCCGGCTTGTTCTCTTTGTCCTTGTTAATAATAACAGGGTTCAGGGTTCTGTGCTTTTCCCGGCTGGCAGGCCTGCCGTGTCATCGCAGCCGTAAACAAGCTTTCTTCCTTCTCTCTCTCTCTCTCCACTCTCTCTCTGAATGTTCGGCTCCTCTCGTCTCCCGGCTCTGGCCGCTCAAGCAGAAAGCTGAGCTGACTGGGTCTGCCAGCTCGCGCCCTCGCTAAGGTCAGAATAATAGGGGGGCTTCTTGTCAGGAAAATCTATATGTTCACCCCTGAAAAGTCCCATGTAATCTTTAGTGGGGATCTTTTTTTTTTTTCCTCCCCTCTCCTTCTTCTTTTTTTCCTTCTTCTTCTTCAAATAGCTGCCAGCCCAAGGCCAATATTTTCAGGCGATTGGGAAGCGACCCCACTCCCCTAACCGCCCCCCTCCTCAACCCCCAAGTTACCCCCTGCTGAGCGGCTTAAGTTGGAGTGAAGGAGTCAGCCTCTCCCTGTTGGCCGGCCAGCAAAATGTCAGGCTGTAATTATGTCTCAGGTGCCAGGTTGGCGTGGAAACGCTTATCAGTGCCTTGTTCTAAAAGAAAGTGAGAGCGAAAGAAAGACAAGCGTGAAAGAGGGAGAGCACTTTGTGTTTTGTGGGTTTTTTGTGTTTTTTTTTTTTTTGGTAACGAAAAAGTTTTACTAACAAAGTAACTGCACTGTTAGTGTGGATAACCCTTAGACTCTATGTAATGGATAGATGTAAGGAAAGTGTATTCACTTTGGCTTAAAAAAACAGTACTCATAAACTAATCATGTGGCTTTTAAATTATTTATCTGCTATCATTATTTCCCCAATAAAGACTTATCTGAATTAGGACTTGAAACAAAGGACGTTTTTAAATGTATTGTGTGTGTGTGTGTGTGTGTGTGTGTGTGTGTTACAGACAAAAGAGAATGAGGAGTTAAGGAGAGCTCATGCAAAACGTCATGATCGTCTACATCTGATCCAGACCAACTACAGGGCGGTGAAGGAGCAGCTGAGGGAGGTGGAGGATGTGCAGGGCCAGTAAGTGACCATTAATGTCCACTAATTCTGTGTTCTTTAGACCATATTCACATTCTCCAGCAAACAGGCACCATCATTCCCCCCTAAACAAATACAACTATGCTTCATCAAACACAAACATTATCTACTGAACAATACAGTTCACCACTAAACATAAATGTTTCGCACCAAACACCACCAACATTCTCTATCAAAGAGCATTATTCTCCAACAGACAGCATACGTTTCTATCAAACTCAAGTGGTGACCACCAAATAAACACCAACATTCTCCACCAGGCCCCAACATTCTCCACCAGACATGACAAATTCTCCAAACATGATTCTTAATTATTGTCCACCACTGGCAATATTATATACCCTACATAAACACTCTCCATCGAATGCCTTCATTCTCCATCAATGTTCTACACCAAACAGTTCTCTATCAAATGCCATCAAACACCAATATTTTTATGCTGGTGATTGGTTCCTTATGCTGGAGCGAGGGTGTGTGCACACATGGCAGTGCTGATGCAGGGCCAGTTAAAGACCTAAAGTAGTGGGATTCTCAAAAACATTCAACATAGAAGCATCTCTGAAATACTTCCACCACTTATTTGATTCAATAGTTCAGATGCTTCTCTATTTTTTTTGTACACACTGTGGTGTATTTAGAGTCTTACCTTTAGAAAGAGAAAGGTGGACAAGAGATTGAACGTAAATGATTTGAGTTCCCTTTTAGAGTAGTGCTTGTAGATAAAAGCCCAGACCATGTGCCGAAGCAGAGCACGCAGCGAAGTGTCATTAAGATTTCCCGCACCCTCTCGCTCCCTTCTCAAGCCTTTTAAATGTAACTAATGGAAGCGTATGTTGAGTATCCACACGGGACACAAGTGTTGACCTTGTCGGCTCTGCTCTCTCTGGGTTAATTAAAGAAAACAGCCATGCAACGTGAGCCCGTGTGAAAGGAGTGTGAATTTATCCACCTCTGCTGTGTCTGCGTGTGTGTGTATCTGTGTGTGTGTATTGGACCGGCAAAATAGACACACTGTGAATATGGTAAGATTTCCATGCTCCTGCTTTTGATCAGACATTGTGTGAAAACATGATTACATTTCCTGGTGAAACCTTGAGTTTTTTTTGCGAGAGATCCACAGATGCCAGTGTTGGTGTCAGTCCAATACATTAAAGCACTTAAACAAAATACTATGACTTTATATGAACTCCATGTCATATACAGTGTTTTTTAGATGACCAAAAACAATATTGAACAAATTGTAATAATGGTCATTGTCGGGAGCCTTTCACGTTTTTCATATTCTCATCATGGTTTATTAAGTGTACTTTTATTAACTTTCCTGTCTCAGAACCTCAAATCCCAATGATTGCTCTAAAACAGTGCTGCTTAAAAACCATTCATTAGCTGACGCCCCGGTCTTCTTTGAAAGCGCTGTTCTGACTGGCCCGCATTGCTGGCTTCTGAGCTTTGCGGATGTTTGTGGCTGTTTGAAGCCGATCCCTGTCTCAGAGGCCCGTGGAGACCGTGCCAGTCAGTTTGGAAGACAATAGGAAATGAAGAAGCTCTGTTAAATGCAGAGAAATCAGTCCTAACAAGCCAGGGGGGAAAACGTCAGCTCTCATCGCTTTTTGGGGCTTGTTAAGGAGCCCCCAGCCACCACCATGCTGGGCTCCTGCTCCTACCCCCCGCCTCTGGCCCCATTCCTCCACTTAGAAACTCTCCTCCAGCAGCTCAGTGGGTGGCAGAGTTGATGGGGTTGGGTTAAGGTGGGGTACCCCAAAACACTCTACCTTTTCTTTCACACAGTATTTGTTTTGACCCTTTTGTTTGTTTGTGATGCTGGAGAGCACTTTCTGCACAGCACCAGCAAAAAATCAACACTGTGCAAACTCTTTCGATGCTAGCTACGCCTCTGCAAATAAATCCATTAGCTATCATGGCTAAACGGATTAGCCTTTCTAACTAACCATGTTACACACCTGCTGGCTGAGGTGCTCCGGAGAGGTCAGGCTCGCAGCGCCCTCCAGTATTGGAGGGCCAGAATTGGTGAGGAAAGAAAGTGGACCCTGATGAGGGCCAAACCCCCTGAGCACTAACACTCCACTGCCTACTAGCAGTGGTAGCGCCTCATTAATATGCAACAGCCTCATGCTGCAGCCCCGAGAAACTCGCCACGTCATTCACAATTAGCTGCACGCTAACCCAACGCCATTAGGAAGAGGCGCGCGCATACCCTTTTCAAAACTCGATTTTTAAGTTTCTAAATCAGACTGGGGGCGATGGGATAAGTAAATAGAATTAAAGGTTATTAAAACATCCACACCCTGATCAAAGATGCGCTCATAAACAGATTCGCAGAATCAAAGCAATTAGCCGCCGCCTTTCCAAAAAGTTCTTCCACTCCCCCCCCCTTGCTGTATAATGAAGTGAAAAGTGCTGTAGTGCTGTTGTCGGGGGGGGGGTGTTTGGAGGAGGGGATGTCTCTGTTAGAACTGGAGATTTTACTCCGTCTCATGAATATGTGCTCCAGGAGACCATTCACAGCCGTTATGCTGAATTTCACAATGGGGCGAGGGTTGGCGCTCTCCAGGATGCGCTTGTTAAGCCCTTCAGAGTGGATCACATTGTGGATTTTTGGATAGAGTGTTTTTCACACGGCATTCTGCTACCCCCACAGACCCCCACAGCACTCTCTCAGTCATAGCAGAGGTTCAAGGGCATTATGGAAGGAAGGAGATAGCTGTAGGCACCTGTCTGAGGAGCGGGGTTTAAGTAGTATTTGTGTTGATGAGAGCTTTGCCGCCACTCTAGAGCTTTATTCCCTAATGGAAGCTTTTTGTTTAGAGTGTGGAAACACAGCACAATTCAGAACTGTACTTTGTTTTCTTCACACTGGGTCGGAACACACATGCATAATGAAAGCATTGTTAGAAAATGAAATAGGGTTGTCACTATGTGTGTGTGTGTGTGGTAACACCATGTAGGGGCATTAAGAATTTAAGTGAGCTGCTGTGATGAGCCTGACCTCGTTTGTGTTTGGCCATTATTTACATTTGCATGGCCCACTGGGAACGCTCTGCTGCAGGCCACTCAGGGCTGCCTTGGGCTCAAACAACTGTTTGTGTGTGTGGTGTGTCAGATTCAAGGCCACTGATTTGAATACTGGCAAACACACAAACACTCAAGCCCAACAGTGCCTGTCCAACACCTCCCCTGTGTTTAGAAAGCCCCAGAGGCTGCCAGGTGTGGCACTGACTGGAGCTAGTGTGTGTGTAGTTTTTTTTCTGCATTTGAGGACCACATGCCCTTAAAAAAAAGAAAGGAATAAGGAAAGATGACTGAAGTCTGTTTGGATGTTTTTTTTTTTTAAAACACAACTATGCCTTTCATTTGTAGACCATATACTGTATATATATATATATGTACATACAGTATATGTAGACCATTCCCCCGAATTAGTTCAAAATGCAGTCCCACAGTAAATAAAAAAATTACTGTCCTATGTTTTCCAGTTGATATGAATGGGAAGTGCAACTGCTTCCCTGTTTCTCATTGGTACATGGTGAGCAGTCAGATGTTTTGAAGTAAATGTGTCCCAAAGTCTGAAAATTAGTGTGTAAGGTTAATAATTGTCACAACCAAACCACATATTTTTATTAAGTGCACTTTTTTGTGTTTTAAAAGTCATGCCCACTTGTTTTTTTTTAATTTGTGAAAAATATTTCTGCATTTTTTTTTTCGGTTACCTTCTAGTTTTTTCTACAAAAATGACATTAAAATGAGTGTTTTGTATTTTCTTGTTTTCTAATGTATTTGAGATGGTAATTTGACTTTCAGTTTCGAGTATTTTGGTCTCTTCCCATTCAGAGAGAGAGGAGTCTGATCTTGTATGGCTGGAAATAACTGTGTTGGTGGCATTGCAAAGATGGCCATTGAGTGAACAAACTTTCCTATATGGATTTTGTCATTGCTTAGGAGTTTCTTATTCCTATTGTAAGTTCTGGTGTGAGCATCCTGACTAATCACAGATGTTTCTTTGGATGTTTGAATCAATAAAGTCATTCACATAATTCAGCTAATATAAATCATTATGGTTAAAAATTATGCATGCCAACCATGTCGCAGCTCACTGTGGGTTCACTTAGGGCTTTTAGTATGTTGCATGTTATATCATAGTCCCAAAAGACAGCACTATAATCACAAATTGAAAAATGCTTTGATAGCATATTATGTAGTTATGAGAGTGTAGGTTAATGAGTAAACATCTAAGTCAACATTTAGCCCTTAAAAGTTAGTGATACAAGTGTATCTGTGTGTGTTCAGGTCGAAAGGCAGGAGGAAGCGCGCTGAGCCGTGGCAGTTACGGCAGGAGAACAGCGATGCCGTTTGGAACGAACTGGCCTACTTCAAGCACGAAAACAAAAAACTCCTCACAGAAAAGTAAGTGAGAAATACAACATTAAGTGGCAATCTGTGGGGTCCAGGCACTATTTTGCAAGTAGACTCTGCAATTGCAATAAGTGCTTTAAGCTTGCACTTTAAGCAAGTGTCATGACAATAGGACATGACAGTTTCTTCATTGTACAATTCAGGTGAAAATATCTCTAAACCAAAATACATAATGGCTTGTGCAATTTAGCCAAACGCATCTATTTGGAAAGTTGTTTAGAATAAGGAGATTTGTCATTTGACACCATTTGAATGTTTATTTCAAATAGAGCAAGAAATGTTGTCCTTTTTTTGTAAGACATACAGAAAAATGTAATAACTTTAATTTTTAATTTTTCAGTTTATTAAATCCGTTTTGACCTTCTCTGAAAACACAGTACTCATTTGAAAATGGTAGATAGTATTAAACTTTACTAAAATGAAATACAACAATATGAATGAAACAATATGAAATACCACTAAAATGAATGCCAAAGGTTCATGACCATACCCTGCCCTCAAAAAAGTTGTTTGTAATGTCATAGAACCAGCCCATGTCACTGAGTTCAGGTCAGGGGCACTTACTATCCACAAAGGGGGCTTTAGACCGAAACAGTTTAAATACTACTGATTTAGGGTGCCTGACAAATGATTGAATATTGTAAGAGACCCTACTGAATTTTCCTACTTTGCACCCACTATGACCTGAAAATAATATGGCTAATAAAGCTCTGTCTAGCTTTATTAGTCTTGTACAGACATACATGTTTGAGTTACCGGAGCCAGAATCCAATTCGGATCCAGAGGACCAACTCGAAAATCAACCTCATTCCTCTCAGTCTGCAACAGAATAATGATTTTTTTCATATCGCGATAAATGTCAAATCATTATTTCTTTCAAGTTTGAAGGCTGATTTTTGCTCCTGGGTGGTTAGTTGCTGTTTTAAACTACATGGTCAGAACATGATAAATGCTCGCCAAACAGTGGAACATTGCACAAATCTGTCATGGGAGAGTGGGAGAAAGTTTCTGGTGAGCTGTTTTTACCAGCTGGAAAAGCACAGCTGCAGTTTTTGTTATAGTCATAATTTAAGAAAGAAATATTGGGTTTAACTGTCTGGTGACGAGTGCTAGGTTATTCCGTTACAAATGCTAAACAATTGGCCAACAACAGTGCTAAACTGTTTAGTTTCTCAACAACATTAATTTAGTACAAACAGCAAACATTAGCTGGCTCGGTATGTCAGTGATGGATGACAGCGCCTTACTGCCATCACTCCTACCACATCCATGTCAGAGCATATCACAGTATTCAAACACCAGCTAGCAGACGACTGAGTTTCTCTATTCTATCGTGGCAGTTTGAGGGGTGAACCGCAATATATTGCTCTCTGTGTAACAGCATTAACTGCAGTGTGAATCTCTCGCACCTGACAAACAGAGTCCTCCTTTTAGGTACGTTTAAACTGAAAGCGGTGCTTTTGTGTCTTGTTTGACCTACAGTATCATCAGTTCGCTGTGTTGTGTGAGTGACGGAGCACTGCTTCAAGTTAGCCAGCTGCTAAAAACAGCTAGCCTGGAAGGATAGTGTTCTCCCACTTTCCAGTGCCTCACAGCATCCTCACTTTACTTAAGTTTAAATCAGGGCTGTAATTTGCATGAACCACACTTCTTTCTTTCATTTTCGTTGCTTGGGAATGCACTAATACGTAAATATGACTGTGTGAGCCTCTGTAACAGCGCTTTAGTTATGAGGAGCAGACATGATTTAATGCTGCTAAACGCTGCTGGTTAAAATGTATGGAAAGAGAGTGAGTTCACTGTAGGACAGTACAGTTACACCACATAACTCGTCACTCACATTTGGTCACAGGAGACCGGATCTCTAGTCGCTCCACTCAAACAGGGAATATATGACTCCACGTTTCAGACATTGCTAAAGACTCAATTTTACTCGTAGCCCCCTCCTTCTCTAATCATGTCGAAAAACTCGGAAGTGCGCCGTCTTTTGGTGACAGCAGAGTAGTGTCGCTTTCTTTGCAGTAGAAAACGCCACCAGGGCTGTCGCTAGTATGTGGAAGTGTGAGAACGGTGTATTATATCGAAAATCTATTGGACCTATCGAGGAAAAGTTATATCGCCCAGCCCTAGGCATAGCTAGTGTAAGCTAACTGAGAAGTAGTAGCCTGTTAGACCTGTTCCGTAAATGGCCGTTTCTGCTTGCATATCGCCTGGAGAAACAACATGCTTACTTCGCATGATCTTAGAGATCTTAGAGATGAGATCCATTGGCTTGGCTACTCAAAGTGCCATGTAGCTGATAGCGCTGTTAGCCCAGCTGAAGTTAGCAACTCAGGCGCTGTCTGAGGAGGGCCAGCGAGCCATAACGAGATCCAGCTCACAGTGTGAAGTGTAGCCGCTGGGCACTGACCTTGCTCAAACAGCCTGAAGGGGCGAGGGTAGGCCGGCTGGCTGATAGCATCTTTAGCTTAGCCGAAGTTACCGAGACTGCCACTAAAGTTTTTATAATGTTATAGTGTTAGGGGAGGGGTCATGCTAAGTTGGCTCTAGTGCGTTATCAAGCCATGATTTCAGGCCTGCCGAAATAATTCCGAGCACAAAAATTATGAAAAACTAAACAATTTAGTACCACATAGTTCACAGTCTTTTCACAAGTTTTCAGCAGTTATTTTCTAGCATGTATAATGTGTTTAGTAACAAATCTCTGAGTTCCTGTGCCTCCTATCACCAGTAGTGCTTCTGTTCTTTTCTGCCAGTCTCATGTTGCGGGTGTTAAAGTTTGATCCTCCTGCTGTTCTTCCTACTGCCACCCCCACCCCTCTCATTATCAGCTCCGGCTGCCATCATTAGGCCCACTACCACCGCACTGCCACTTCCAAACTCTCTCTCTTTCTCTCACACACACACACACACACACACACACACACACACACACACACACACCACAACCATGGAGAAGAAAAATTACATTACCAAGTTTTAAATGGTGCGTCTGTGAAGAGGTTTCATTTTCTGGCCTGTGTTAATGATTAATGATAATTTCAGGTGTTAATGGTTAAGGGCTTTGTTTCCTACCAGAAACAGCACTTCTCTTGACAATCCTCCCTCTAGCAGGGGCAACAAACATTAATGGATTAAAATGATTGGTGTGATGGCAGAGATTTCTCACTAGTGGGAGATTTCAAAGGACGGACAGTGTTCTTTCAAAAGAATGCAATAGGTTTGCTGTGTAATGTAGACAGTTGGTTGAATCTTGCAGCCTGAACCCAAAGACGCTAAAGTTCCCTCTGAGCGGTTTCATGGAGTGCTCTCCAGAGAAGGGTGTGAGTGCTTTTCAGTGACAGTGCAAGTGTGTGTGTCAGTGAGTGTGTATGTGTGTGTTAATTACCACTGCTCTTGTCTGCTGAAGGAGTCGTTCTTTATTAGGCTGGCTTGGCTCTCTCCTTGCCAGGCCTCATTTGGCCCGTGCTGTGCTGAGGGGTCTAACCCTGCCAGCCAGCGTGGCCCGGCCCTCCCCTGTTTGATCTCTACCCCCGGCCCGCTCTTTCAGGAGCCCTCCTCCCTTGTCCGCCCCCCCTCCGCCCTGTCCTCCTAATCCCAGCTGAGCTCATTATGATGTAGCCCGGCTGCCTGCCCCCCCTCTCTCCGTGAGCTCGAGCTGTCCGAGCTAATTACGGGCTAGCGGCCGCTGCTGGCTGCTCTGGGCCTGCTGCTGCTGCTGGGGATGGAATTGGGGCTTCTGGGGGTGGGGAAGGGGCTCTGACTACTGCTGTACCTGGAAGTAGGTCTGATGGGAATGGGGTTGGTCATGCTGGATTTTTAGTGTTGGGGGTTGGAGGTAAAGTTGGATCTGGGGTTGGTGCTGTGGATTGGGTCGTTTTGGATGGAGTTGTTGGGGCTGTGGATGGGGTTGTTCTGGATGGAGTTGCTGGTTTTGGGGTTATCGATAGACTTCTTGTTTTTGGGGCTGTTAATGGGGTTGTTCTGTATGAATTTGTTGGTGTTGTGTCCATGAATGGAGTTGTTCTGCATGGAGCTGTGGGTGCTGGGGATGTGGATGGGGTTGTTCTGGATGGAGCTGTTGTTGTTCGGGCCATGAACGATGAGTTGTTTTGACAGGAGTTGTTGAGGTTTGTATTGGGGCTGAGGATGAGGTTGTTCTTGATGGAGTTGTTGAGGTTGTTGATATTGGTACTGTGGATATGAATTTGTTCTGGCTGACGTTGTTGGCGTTGGGGCTGTTGGTGGAGTTGTTTTGGATGGAGCTGTTGATGTTTGGACTTTGGATGGTGTTGGGACTATACATGGGGTTGTTCTGGATGAAGTTTTTGGTGTTGAGCCTGTGGATGTGGTTATTCCGGATGAATCTACTTGTGTTGTAGTTGTGGATGGGGTTATTTTGGATGGACTTCATCTGGGACCAGCTGGGGCTGGAAACGAATGCAGCTGGGGATGGTATGTTCTATGAGAGTGACCTGTCGAGGAGCACGAGGGAACTGCTGTTTCTCACTTTTTCTGTCCTGCAGGGTTACCGCTGATCCCCTTTACACCCGCTCCAGCGGACACTGCGTAAACTCGCCCACACGTCCTCGTGCTCTCCCTGGAAAAAACAGAGAGGGGGCGAGAGGGCAAGGGCGACTCCCTTTGATCTCCACTGGCTCTTACCACCATTACCACCTCATAGTGTGATTGAGAAAGCAAAAGCCCTCTTTCTCTGCTCTCTCTTTCTTTTTTTTTCTCTCTCTCTCTCTCTCACACACACACACACAACTCTTAATTTTTCTTTTCCATATTTTTCTTGTACTCACTTTCTTTTTCTCTTTCTTCATCATACCATCACTGTCTTACATTCTCTCACTTTCCACCTGCTCTCTCTCTCTCCCTTCTCTCCCCTGGTGTATATTCATTATGTGCAGTAAGAGGGATGGTAGGAAGATGTGAGGTGTAATTAGGCTGCGTTTCTTTATCAAGCTGTTTTGCGGCCTGGTGAA